ATGGTATAATTTTATGTGAAAACCTCCCAACCAAAAAAAAAAAAGAAGAAAATTAAATGAATTAAAACAAAATTAACTTTAATTTCTTCACCTTCCTCTTTTGCCTCATCCTCGATATCATCTTCATCCTCCTCTTCACCGTCCTCTTCATCATCCTCTTGGGTTCCACAAGGAACCCATGTTCTGGGGTTCCACGAACCCAATATTGGGTTCCTCCTGGAACCCAGAACCTAGGTTCCATGAACCTAGAGCTGGGTTTGTGAGAAACCTAGTTTTGGGTTCCTCGTGGAACCCAACCTCCATGGAAGATCGAAAAAGATTTTATCCATGGTTCTAATGGAGGTTGATTCATATTGGAAAAAAAAAAAAAAACAATCTTTTAATTCACTTACAAGAAAAGTTGAGAACCTATCAAAAAATCAAGTCATCATGTTATTATTCTATCAAAACTAGAAAGAATCACAGAAAAGAAAAGCGAAAGAAAGGTACAAACTGGGTTCCACGAGGAACCTAGAGTTGGGTTCCACCACGACGAGGAACCCAGCCCTAGGTTCCTCATCGTGGTGGAACCTAGATCTGACTTCCTCGACATGAGGAACCCAGTTTGGGTTCCTTGTCGTGAGGAACCTAGAGTTGGGTTCCTTTGCTCTGGGTTCCACCCTATTCTAGTCCCTTTTTTTTTTTTTTTTGGTTGGAAGGTTTTCACATAAAATTATGCCATGTCATCATGCCACATCATCAAAAAATCGTCCACATTAGATAAATAATGGCACGTAACACCCACGTCATTATTTGGATACCACATATTATACTTTTTAACGGTTATTAACGGTGATATGAGGGTAAATTAAAATATTAAGTTTCTTACGAGTTTTGAAAAGTGGAGGGTGTTTATCGAGAAAAAAATATTTAGAAGGTATTGATAGTGGAAAAAAATTAATTGGAGAGTACAAATAGGGGTTTTAGCCTTTTTTTTTGGCTTAATTCAATTTTTAGTCTATTAACTATCACATTGATTTCATTTTAGTCTAAAAATTATGTTTTATTTCTAAGTGGTCTATTAACTTTCAGATTCATTTCAATTTCGTCTACTTGGTCAAAGATAACGGAAACTTCCTATTCTGTTAGAGAACAGTTAGTCCCCTAACTATATTTTTTTTTATCTTTTAGTTCTCAAATTTGTATTTGTTATAAAAATAACTTTTATACTTAAAATTATTATTTTTAGGCTTTGATATTAGATTTTTATACTTAAAATTATTATTTCTAAGTGATCTATTAACTTTCAGGCTCTGATACCAAATTAAAGAAATAGGAAAACCCGTATAAAAATCTGGTATCAGAGTCTATAAAAAAAATTTAAGTAAAAAAGTTATTTTTATAATAAATATAAATTTAAGGACTAAAAGATCAAAAAAATATAGTTAGAGGACTAACTATTCTCTAACAGAATAGGAAATTTTCGGTTATCTTTGACCATGTAGACGAAATTGAAATGAATCTGAAAGTTAATAGACCACTTAGAAACAAAACATAGTTTCTAGACTAAAATGAAATCAAGGTGGTAGTTAATAGACTAAAAATTAAATTAAGCCCTTTTTTTTCTAAGGTATTGGTGGCGTTGAAACTCCAAATCAACAAATCCAAGTGTTTTGAGATTTAGAGGTATCATTGAGTTTAAAGCCGGATTCGATTAATCTTTTTGATATTATTAATTTCTTTAATGGTTATTTTAATAAATAATATATATATTTATTTTTAAATTTATATTAAAAAATTAAAAATTAATATTTAATTAAATTAATTAATTTAATATTTATTTCAGTATTAATATTAACTTTTATGTTTTTTATTTATATTTATAAAAAAAGTATTTCAAAAAATATTTTTAAAATACAAGTTAAAAAATTATTTCTTTAATTGGCATTTTCACACCCCATCTAAACTCGTAATAACATGTTTTTCGTTTTGCAGGAGAACAAGATGCAACGTACAAGTTGGTTGAGGAAGATCTAGACCTTGTGTTAGTAGTTGGTGGGTGGAACTCAGGCAACACCTCGCATCTTCAGGGGATTGCAGAGCACCGTGAGATCCCCTCGTAGTAGGTAGATGTACTGAGCAGAGAATAGGCCCAGGAAACAAAATAATTTACAGGTTGAAAAGTCCAATGCATTGTGCATAATTAGCCTTTTTTGGGTTTAACGAGAATGTTCATTTTAGCGTGAACTGACACTATAAAATATCAATCTGGGTGCCTAAAATACAAATTGATTCATGAAGGTTATTTTTAGACATTTCACTTCTGGATTTTTTTTATTGGCATTTCACGTTTGGATTGACATTTTATTTTGTTAGCTCAATTGATGAACTTTTTTTTTTTTAAATAGAAAAAAAAGGGAGAAAAATATCATTAAACTTGACAAAAGGAATTCAAGGAGTACTCTAACTCCTACATATTTTGTTCCAAAATATGTGTATTTTTTATGCTAGCATGGGGAGTTGGCGGAGAAAGAAAATTGGCCGCTGGAAGGACCGATTCAATTGGTGTTACCGCCGGTGCTTCTACGCCACATAAGGTTAGCTTTGCAAACAAAAACTACTCTACATTTTGTTTCATAACTTTTTGTATTGTTTAGTTTTTTTTAGTGTGAACGGCATTTTATTGTATGGTTCAAATTATAAATTTATCAATATACATTAAGTGAAACTCTCCTACATATTCATTTATGAAGAGTATTTTAATAATTTTAATATTTAACTATATTTACAAATTTACAATCTAGATTGAAGTACATAGTTCCCTTAGTTTATATCTGGACATTGATCTTTTGCCGAATTCCAGGCTATTGAGGATGTCCTCTAAGGTTTTTGAAATAGAATAAGAAGAACCATGCAACTAGCGCGGGTTTAGTGGATGGATGATGCATGGGATGCCAATGTATGTTTTTTTTTTTTTTTAATATATGTACTAAACCCAGCCCTTGATATTTGTATATTTTATTGGATATCAATTAATTTAAAATGAAGTCTTATTAGACCTTGCAAGGAAAGAGACTCTTACAACATCTTCTTTTTTTTTTTAATTTATAAAATATGAATTTAAAATATTGTTTAAGGAAAATTGATTTCTTTCTAATCAAACTAATAGGTCATTGGTGGATGGTAATGCATTTGAAATATAAGAACTTGCTTAAAAGTGTCACACCATTTAATACAATGTGTTTAGTTTTGATTATCTAGTCTTTCAAACCAATCTAATTGGTTGGAAAAGAATTTCATCCAAACTAATGCAACTTAATTTGGATTAATTCGGTTAGATATTAAAAGTACATTTGACTGAAATGTACTAAAAAAAATGTGGAATTCATTTGCAATTCTACATTATTGTTTTGCTTTGAATAAAAAGTTTTATTTTAATTTCATGATTTGAATTTTATGTTATTATTTTTGGTTTAATTTAAAAATATTGTGGAATTCATTTTTAGTTTACATTCTTGTGTATATTTGGTTTGTCCAAAAAGTATAGAATTCAATTCTAAACTTTTAAATCATCAAATCTATTAAAACTAATTCAAACTTATTTGTTTTAATAAAATTTGGAAATGGAACTATCATAGTAATTTTTAAATGAACTAAGAAAGTTTAAGGTTTTTACTTATACTCAATCCATTTAATAATAGTAGACTTAATTTATTTTTTTATTTTTATAACAAAAAATTTAGGCAAAAATTTAACATTACGAATGAATGTGAATTAAAAATTTTTTTCTTATATGTAATTTTTGTTTAATAATTTTACTTTATCAAAAATTAAGTTTCAGTTAGAAAATAAGCTCACCAAATAGCTCTTTGCCAGAGAAAACACGACGGAGATAAAAACAAAAGCATGGTTGGTTTGGGGATAAAAATGAAAAATTATAAAATTTCGGAGGCCAATTATGGTAGTTTGGTGCGGCCAGAACCACGTGCAACACGTGAATGTTCTTTCCATAAAAACAGTACAATTTTTCCATGTCGGCGAAGTTTGTAAAATTATAG